GCGCCATGTCGTGGACCGCTTGCTCTGGGACCACGGCGGCGAATCTCCCCAACATGCCACGTGCGATGCGCACTGCATCTTCGTCAGCTCTCGCCAAGTCGGCCGGGGAAGGCCTACATGTACTCACTAGCACCTCGGCAAGTTCCGGGAAGTGCGTGGGTCTGGCAGGTCCCGGGAGTGGGATGAGGGATGCAGTTGTGCGTCTAGGAAGTGGCTGTTGGGAAGGAGCGTTGACCCGCAGCCCCACGGAGGCGGGAGTTGGTGTAGCTGCAGGGGCGGAGTCCAGGCGCGCGACGTGTATTGGGCCCGCAGCGAGCTGCAGTTTCAGTCTGGCTTATGGTCTGTCTGAACCTCTCGCGGCTGCCCTAATGTCAGCGTCCGCAGGGAGGAGTATCGTCACCCAGGTGGGGACTGACGCGAAGAAGAAACCAGCTTCGCCGCTCGCGGTGACCTCGACGGCTCCACCGGCCGCTATTGCAGCAAGCAGGTATTCTCCAGGCCCAAGGACAGTCTCGTAGTCCCGCAGGCCACTCTCCTGAAACACGCTGGGTACCGCGTTGGGCGCACCCCTGCTCATCGCCCTAGCGTTATCCCGGAGCCAGTCGCCTGTGATGATAGGTGGGGCAGCTCTGGTGTTGGCTGGGTGCGAGGTACCGTTCAGGCCGTCCGGAAGTGGCCAGAGCCGGGTTAGTATCTGCGCATTCGCCGAGCCGACCGTGGCTGAGTAGAGCCGTAACGTGTTGTGTCCAGGGAGCCTCGCGTCAGGGCGCATGCTGCGGGGGCGAACGTCTCCGAGCTGCGCCCCGTGCCTGTCAAACGTGGTGATCTCGAGCACTTGGGGTTGAACGGCGCGCCTAGGGGCTTGCCGGACCGAGATGCTGGCCAGGGCGTCCACATGTTCCTGTAGCTCCCTGGCTACCGCGGCTGCTCTGTGCATGGGGTCCCTGCTGGGCGTCGCACGGAAGATCCTGACGGTCTGGGCTCCGATCACTATGCAGCTTGTGCCCACGAAGGCTGCCGCCATGGCGTCGGCCGCCGCCAGGCGCATGCGAACTTGCGTCATGTACCTGTAATCAGAGACGTCTGGGAACCAGGCGCACACGGTGGAAACCTGCTCGACCGTGTCCGGACCGGTGGTGGCCTCTACGGCTTGCATGACGTCCGTCGGCCGTGTTTGTCCCATGTCAGCGAGGTTCCACCGCAGGTGGAAGCCGTCCTCAGGGTCGGAAAGGCGCACGAACGAGGGTCCCCCGTCCCAGGGTCCTTCCAGGAAGATGCGGCGCGGTCCGAGTGCCGGGGAGGAGGACCCGTCTCCAAAGACGCGCGGAAGCTCGTCCCGGAGGTGCCTCATGACGGGGGCAGCAATCCTTTCTGGAGTGGCGATCAGGAGAAGCCCCGTCCCGCAAATTCCCAATCTGTGTCCCATGGCTCCGGCTGTTGCGGAAGCGACGGAGTGGGCTATGCATATCGCCCTGGGGGGAACTGGGATGTGCACTGAGTCACTTGTCTCGTGGGTTCTCCAAACGCACGCCGTCTGGTGGGCCAGCGTGGTTATTTGAGCTGCCGCCTGCAAGTTGTCCAGGGGGGCACGTATGCCGTCTTCTCCACTCACGGGCCTCGCTGCTCGGCAGCGAAGAACGTGATGGAAGAGCATCTCGAGTCCCTGGTGTCTTAGTAGTTCGTCCCGGGGGAATTGCACTCTCGTGGTGACCAAGTCGGCCGCGATCGTGCCGTAGGATTGCCTTAGTTCCTCCTTCCACCGCATGATCTGCGCGACGACACCGTCGTTGCCGCTCTCAGGGGTTAGGATGTGTAGTGCGTCAGAGGTGTCCCCGGTCCTCCCTCCCCAGTGCACGCCTATTGACGGGGGCAGAATCGTACGCAGTGTCCTACCCGTTATGTCAAAGTTAGCGGCAAAAAGCTGCTGCATTGGGGGGCTGGGCTTGCCAGCTCGGTAGGGGTAACCGATCGGGACGAGGTGGGTGATTTTGCTGGCCGCTCGGTATCCCCACTGCGCGTTTGCCAGGGCCGCGAGCTCGACCGGATCCGGTCCTCCAGGGGATGGCACTCCCTCGGTGGCCAAGGCGATGACACAGCATGGGCAACCCGCGGCAGAAGCTGCCGCCAGGGCAGCATCCATCTGTGGAGCTAGCGCATCTACCACGAGGATCTTTGGGGCGGCGCTACCCGGGGGCTGGTTTCTGCGCTCCGTGACTACTGCTTTGACCTGCTCCCAGGCGTCGGGGCCTGCCAGGGCGAAAGTGATTCCAGTCTCATCAGCTACTCGTTCGCCGACGTACGTGCTTCTGGAAATTACCAGATCAGCTGCGATGTCTCGGACGGCCGTGGCTAGCAGCCCCACCGGGAACCGCATAGGACCTCTCCTCCTGGGTTCGTCCTCTGGTGGGTTCCGCCACAGCAGAAGGGCCCATCTCCCAAAGGTGATCCGCGGGGCTTGCCGTATCCTATCTGCCCTGTTGGTGGGTCCGAGGGGTCGTTGTGGGGGCGGGGTCCCAGGGCTCTGCGAGCTGTCATGCGTGTGATCGGGGTCCGTGCCGCTTCCACCGTTTCCACCGTCAGGTGGGGTTCCATCCGCATCCATCGGGGCCTGTTGCGTCTCCTGAGCGGTCCTCCTCCCGGTTACATGCCCGTGGATTCTGCGCATATCCGAAAGCGTGACGTATGTGTGGGGCCGCCGGATGGAGAGTGCTTGCGCTCTGAGGCAGTCCAGATCCATGGCCAGGTGTCTGACGGCCTCGGCTAGCTCCTGCAGACTCAGGAAGGGCTGCAGCGGGGGTAAGGCACCATCGCGGAGTTGCAGGAGGTCTGGTGGTACCGCCACCGCCGCAGCGTCGGCATCTCGGACTCGTCCTGGCAACCTTACGGTGATGCTACCCCTATCGTTGGAGCGGCAATTAGGCCCGAGAAAGCATTTCATAACCCCCGAGTTCCAATTGGCGCCGAAATCAAAATAACTAATGCCCACGGCCGGTATTCGCGGAAGGATGAAATAAGCACCAGAGAGAAAGGTCAAATGATTCATTCCCGCGCAAGTAATGGCAAAGTAATACATCTAGAGAAATGCCATATAACGGTATGTGAAAGAATTGATTAGAAATAGAAGCAACAAACGATGGTGGTAAGCATGACAGAAGGCAGGGCTGAACCTAAACGGTGTTGTTCGTTTTCGTTTTGGTTTCGTTGTCCCTCGTTTTGTCTTCAATCCGCCTTTAGCGCAGAACGACATCGAAACGAAAACGGCCCACGAAATCGCCGAAACACCGTTTAGGTCCACGCCTGACAGAAGGGTTCTCAAATAATACAGTGGCATGGTATCAACAGGGGCATGCAAAAACACATAGGACACGAATCGCACAATAGAAAATACAGCAATTATAGATCAATGCGGAAGGATACATCTCCCCCGACACACCTACCCAAGACGTTTCTTTGTGATGTGTGTCGCAAACCCTAGCGGGACATGAAAATGCCGCAGCGCTCGTACAAGGTATAGCCACCCGAACATCCCCCAGTCCGCAACGCGCGTTATCTTAGCACCCGCGCTTTTGCGTATGACCTATATAAAGATACATGCATGCATGCATGCATGCATGCATGCATACATACATACATACATACATACATACATACGTACATACATACATACATGCATACATACATACATGCATAGACCCCCACGAAGTAGGAATATGAAAAGATACCCGGGGAAAAGACTACCCTTCAATCACGATAATGACGAAACTCGCAAGTTTAATGGCGATGGGAGCAGCAAACGCGCTGGCATGCATGCACATGTATATGAATTATCGCCCTACGGTAACAATCCCACATTAGTAGGAACAACTAGACCAGCATTGGAAAACGATCGTCTGAACATAAGGACTGGAGCACTACGAATGGAAAACGCTCTGAGATGGGAATGCGCCGAGGCAGCGCGGACATGCCAGGGCATAATTCTGCTGCCCCTTGGCCCCCCGACGCCTTGCGCCTCTCGGCACGGGCCCCCGGGAGGTCTGCCGGCTCTGGCGCTGGCTCCTGACACCGCGGGGATCGTTCAACCGTGAACGATCGGCCGTTTTCGACTACACGCGAGAGTGACCCCAGCCAAGAGTGAACTTTGGTGCGCGGCGTTAGGGGGCCGCGAAGAGCCCAAATCCAAGCGCGCGGCCCAGAGCCGGGGCCAGCCCTGCGAGCCCAAACCAAAGGTCACTCCGGCGGAAGGTCACTCTTACGTGTAGCCGACGTTTCCGAAATCCGAAACGTCAGATCGTCCATCATCGACCGTTTATGCGCCGCCGCCGGCGTTGAACGTTGAACGCCGGCGGCGGGGTCGCCGCCGGTCAACACCACGCGAACCTACCATGGGGGGCCCCTGGAGGTCCAGACCTTTTCCCTGGGGCCGGCTCACCGTCCTGAGTCCTTCTTGGGCGGTCCGTGGGCCTGGCGAGGGCCGCCCGACGGGCCGGAAACTGCGAAAGCCGTGTGCATCGACCCCTCCTCCTTCTCCTGCTCCTCCTCCTCCCCCATCTCCTCCTCCTCCTCGCGCTTCGCTCCTCGCTGATCGCCCCCCCTCGCTCCTCGCTCCTCGCTCCTCCTCCTCGCTCCTCGCTCCTCGCTCCTCCTCCTCCTCCTCCTCCTCCTCCCTCCTCCTCCTCCTCCTCCTCTCCTCCTCCTCCTCCTCCTCCTCCTCCTCCCTCCTCCTCCTCCTCCTCCTCCTCCTCCTCCTCCTCCCTCCTCCTCCCTCCTTCCTCCTCCTCCTCCCTCCTCCTCCTCCCTCCTCCTCCTCCTCCCTCCTCCTCCCTCCTCTTCCTCCTCCTCCTCCTCCTTCTCTTCCTCCTCCTCCCTCCTCCTCCTCCTCCTCCCCATCTCCTCCTCTCCTCCTCCTCCTCCTCCTCCTCCTCCTCCCTCCTCCTCCTCCGCCTCGAGGCGTTAGGGGTCTGGGTCTGGCGCCGCGGCCCCTGGGCACGGGCGGCTGGCGCCTGCTCCGCGATGCGGGCCACCTCCTCCTCGAGGAACTGGTCCACGGACGCCAGGCTGAGCTTGCCAGCGGGCGCCTGGGGGGGAAGGAGGGGTCAAGAGGAGGAGGAGGAGGAGGAGGAGGAGGAGGAGGAGGAGGAGGAGGAGGAGGAGGAGGAGGGAGGAGGACGAGGAGGAGAAGGAGGAGGAGGCGGAGGAGGCGGATGAATGGGAGGAGAAGAAGGCCAAGGAGGAGGCGAAAGAGGATGAGAGGGAGCAGCAGGAGGAGGACAAGGGACAGGTAGGAGGACAAGGGGCAGGGAGGCCTCCTGGATGGGATCAGAGTAGATGGGGTCGGAGGATCGCACCGCATCGCCAATGCATCGGCGATGCGTCGGCGATACATCGACGATGTCGCCGATGCATCGGCGCCGCTGAAAGGTCAGTCAAGCCTGGCGCTCGCACGGCGCATTGGCATATAAAAAGTTAATACAGTGCAATGCAGAAGCTACGCGCCAGCCCTGGTACGGCTCTTGGGCACCACTGCCGCCACTGAGCCAGATGTCTGGCAGGGCGTGTGGACAGAAACGTGCGCAATTGGCACAGAGCGCCCGACTGTGAAGCAGAGAAAAGTTGAGCGCCCCACGACTGTGAAGCACAATCCGTACCTACCTTTTTCCACGGCAAAAACATCGATGTGAGCCTGGCCTGGGGTGAAGTGGCCCGCTGTCGCCGGACAAATGCGATACGAAATCCCATGAGAACGTATCGGCTCCACCTGTGAGGAAAAGTGGGGACGGGGAGGGGGGGAGGGAGGGAGGGGGAGGAGGGGAGGGGGAAGGAAGGGGACCAGGGCTACATCCCCTTTGCAAGCAAAAGCGCATAGACGCAAGGAGCCCACTGCTGTTCAGGCCTCCCCCTGCGTCGTTGGTGTTCCCATTCTCTTGGCCGGCCAATGCCTGGCTCACATGTTAAAAGTCTGAGAGGGTGGTCTTCCAGCAACGCTACAATTTTACTATACAGCGCCGTCTGACGCTCGCGCAACGTGCACTTCAATGAAAGTTCCCCCGCTTTGTCCAGAATCTCCGTATTGGAGACTCGTGAAACATACGCGCTAGGGATATTGAGGATTCGCCTTAAACGTTGAATATGGAAACTATCCAGGCGATTGTTGTCCGCTTGCAACAGCCACAAAGTCTCTAAAATATAAAAACCGCTTCGGCAACACGACAGTTTTGTACAATTCAATTTTTCTGCGGCGACAGATGTTGGCGTGCGACCAACACCGGGCTAGGCTCTTGAAGGTTGCTTTGGCCTCACCAACTCTTCTTGCCACTTCTGGTTGAGCTACGCAGCGGACGTTCAGCAGGCCCCCCAAATACACAGCTTGCTCAACGGTTTTCAGCGGAGCGCCAGCTGGTGAAGAAATTATACTGGAGCTATGCAAGCGCATGCATACAGTCTTGTTCCAGTTGAGATCTAATCCGTACCTTCGGCCTTCACCAATCACTACTATGTCCAGAAAATTTGCAATTTCCCGGAGTCGCTGCTGATGAGCATTGTGTCGTCAGCGTATAATAGATCATGGCATACTAGATACTCAGGTTCCACAGTCTCACCGTGCAGGCTCGCCATTCGTTTGTCTATGTCGAAGAACATGACGCTCTGTACAAGTATAAACAAATAAGGAGAAAGCGGACACCCTTGGGCGATCCCTGCGGCTTGTGTCCTTTGGCGGGAGTTCCTTGCAGGATCCTTTAAGATGAAGCTTCTGTGCTTGTAGATGGACGCAACCAGCTGCATTATGTCAGAAGGTAATCCGAATCTTCGTAGGGCACCCAGAAGAGCATCATGTCGAATTCGATCGAAAGCTTTTGACCAACCAAACAATACTGCAATCAATCCTGGCGCTTTACTTGTCTGCGCAGCTTCGAGCATGCGACGTGCGATGCTGATGGCTTGCGCGGTGCCTCTGCCCGGGCGGAAACCGAACTGGCTCGAAAGTATTATCTGCTCTGCCCCGCCATTTTGGATGCGCTTTTGGATCATCCAAGCTAGGAGCTTAGATCCAATTGTTAAAAAAGAGAAATTGGCCTGTAGTTCTCTGGAAGGCTTGCGTTCCCCTTTTTGTGTAGAAGTGCCACCAATGACGTATGCCACTCTTCTAGGATATCCTTCTCGTCCCAACACCTGAGAAAGAATATCAACAATTCTTCGCATGCTTCTTGTGACATTGACAATGCTTTCCAAAACTCTGGGGGCATGTCGTCAATGCCGGCCGCTTTGCCCGTCGAGAGAGCCCGCAATGCGGCATTCAGCTCCTTCATGTTGAAAGTATCAGTCGAAATCGGCAGTGCATGTCCCATGTGCTCGTGCCCAGTCGGCGTAAGAGAAGCATGTTGAACTTTCCATTGCACTTCTTCCAAATAATCGGCTAATGTATCTGCACGTTGGGCACTATCCACTATCCACATCGGCGCCGCTGACGTGGAGAAAATCGGGCTCCACTTCGAACCGCATCGACGACGCATCGGCGATGCGGCGCGATCCTCCGACACCATCTACTCGGACCCCACCTGAGAGGCCTGGGTTTCTTCGCTGCAGGACGACGGCAGGAAGAGAACAACCGAAGGGGCCCAGGGACACACAAACAAGTAGGCACGAACCCCAGGATTCCCCATGGTTTCCCACCTGTTCTGAACCTGCGGCTTCCACCCCCACTGGCCCATATCTTCCTGTCTTCTCCTGGGGGTCGACGATTCACCGTGTCTGTGCTCCTTTTCCCTCCTAACGACGTCGGGCGAGGGGGAACGGTATGGAGGGGCTGGCCCAGGGGGGGGGAGCAGCGAGCTTGCCTCGGCGACGCGTCGCCGATGGATGGGCGATGGGCCCCCGCTAGCGAAGCCGCAGGCTCATGGGCGGGTGGGCTGGCGAGGGGGGGGAAAAGGTGAGGAGGAGACGGCCTCCTCAGCAGGCGGCGGGGCTTCTCAGGAGCCCTCGCGCCTTCTGGGAAGCTGTCTGCGTCTTCGCGAGAGGCTCAGAAAACTTCTCGAGAGTCCCGGGGGGACTTCCGAGCCTTCTGAGAAGGCCCGCCCCTCCTCACTTCCCCCCCTCGCTCGCGGCCGATGTTGGGGATCTATCGGCGATGAACGGACGATTGGGGTCGATGCATTCCCCCCTGAGCCTGTCCCCCCCTACGCTGCCCCTGATCGGGCAGAGATAAACCACCGCTAAATGTTGCCCCAGGCGAGTCTTCAGAATGCATCGGACGCCGCGGCCGTTCCAGAGCTCCCTGGCAAGCTCTCCGAGAGCGTTCCGGGACGCTCTGCAGCGACATGTCTTCTTCCAGGGCCTGCCTGACGCTGCGCCCTCCGATCCTACGCAAGTCACTTTGACCTCGTCCATTTGCACTGCGCGACGCGGGGGAGGAGTCCGATGCGGGACTCGTCGTGGTCTCTGCCCTTCTGGGGGCCTCCAGGGGGGAGCCTCGTGGCCACGGCTGGGCGCAGCTTCAACAGCTGGCCTATATGGCGACCAGGAACCGATGCCGAGCGCAAGTTGATCTAACCTCGTGCTTCGAGCCGCGCGATGCGCGATGCGCGACCAGCGATCATCTTCGCACCCTCGCACCGCCCCCCATGAGAAGGGCAACTTTTCGGCCCAGGCCCCGAAGCGCTGAATGCGATGATTCGCGTCCACGTGCGACCAAGCAATGCTTGCTCCTCCTCCTCCTCCTCCTCCTCCTCCTCCTCTTCATCCTCCTCCTCCTCCTCCTACTCCTCCTCCTCCTCCTCCGCCTCCTCCTCCTCATCCTCTTCATCCTGCTCATCCTTATCTTGCCTGCTTCCCCCTTCCTCCCCGTCCTCCTTCCACCCCATGCACTCCCAGAAACCTCCAACACTCGCCAAAGACCTCCCGAGGCCTCTGAAATCTCCAGCAGCCTTCGATCACGGACGAACACCTAACTCCTCCTCTTCTTCCCAACGTACACCCCCTCCTCCTCCTTCTCATCCTCCTCCTCCGCCTGGAGGGAAGGAGGCGGAGCCAGCGACGCTGGCGCGAGGGTCTCCCACCTGAGCAGGCTGCAGCACCTTCATCAGCAGGCTGTGTTCCCTGTCCTGGGGAGCAGGCTCTGTGGAAAGATGGGTAACCCCCTCCTCCTCCTCCTCATCCTCATCCTCCGCCTCTTCCACCCTTCCAACTCTTCCAACTCATTTTCCACCTCATCCTCAATTCCTTCATTCCTTCTCCTTATACATAACTCCTCCCTGTCGCACCCCGAGGCAAGTTTTTAGGGCGGGCCGGGCGTTTCGCCTGAGAATTCCTCACAATTTATGACTCTGAAACATAAAAAGTGACAACGGTTTCACGGATTGAGGGCGGGTCGTTTTCAAAATATCGCTCTCGTCTTAGCGCCGCGCACGCTGGTTTTTTAAATTTGCAAAAATTTCACGGATTTGGGGCGGGTCGTTTTCAAAATGTGGTTCTCGCCTCACCGCCGCGCAAATTCGATTTGAAGATTTGCAAGAATTTCACTGGTTAAGGGCGGGTCGTTTTCAACATGTGGCTATCGCCTTAGCGCCGCGCACACTGTTTAAAACATATGCAGAAGCTTCACAGATTGAGGGCGGCTCCTTTTCAAAAGATGGCTCTCGCCTTAGCGCCGCGCACATTCGTTGTAAAGATTCGCAAGAGTTTACGGATTCCCATGATCAACGTACCAGAAATGGTGCTGTGGAAGGATTCCGGATTATGCGGGCGCAACAGTTATGTTGATTCGCTGTGTTGAAGTCCAATAAATGGCGTTCTGGCACGAGTCTGGACCGTCAACAAGCAGCAGTCAGGCTGATATGTGGCGTTGACATCCCGAGAACAATGTTTTGGCACGTTTCAGAACTTTCAAGCTGTTGTCTTCCAAAGAGGCACTTTCATCAATGGAAATGAACCGTTGTAGGGGCCTGTGAAGAAGGAGCTTGGAGGGAGGGTTAATTCCAACATCGGTGATGACCCTTGGGTTTCGACTGGTCCTGATCCTCATCCTCATGGTCATCCTCTTCCACCTCCTTCTCCTCTTCCTCCTCCGCCTCCTCGATTCCTTCTCCTTATACATAACTCCTCCCTGTCGACCCCCGAGGTCAGATTTAGGGCGGGCCGGGCGTTTCGCCTGAAACTTTCTAACCACGTATGCCTCTGAAGCGTAAAAACTGACAACAGCTTCACGAATTGAGGGCGGGTCGTTTTCAATGTGTGGCTCTCGCCTTAGCGCGGCGAACATTCGCTTTAACAACTTGCAAGAGCTTCACGGATTAAGGGCGGGTCTTTTTCAACATGTGGCTCTCGCCTGAGCGCCGCGCATATTCGTTTGAAAAATTTGCCAGCATTTCACTGATTAAGGGCGGGTCGTGTTCAACACGTGGCTCTCGCCCTAACGCCGCGCACATTCTTTGAAACAAATTGAAGAGCTTCACGGATTGAGGGCGGGTCTTTTTCAAGATGTGGCTCTCGCCTTAGCGCCGCGTACACTCGTTTAAACATTTGCAAGGGCTTCACGGATTGAGGGCAGGTCGTTTTCAACATGCGGCTCTCGCCTTAGCGCCGCGCACATTCGTTGCAAAGATTTGCAAGAGTTTCACGGATTGACGGCGGGTCGTTTTCAACATGTGGCTCTCGCCTTAGCGCCGCGCACATTAGTTTTAAAAACGTCCCAGGGCTTTACGGATTGAGGGCGGGTCGTTTTCAAAATGTGGTTCTCGCCTTAGCGCCGCGCACATTCATATTAAACAGTTGCAAGAGTTTTACGGATGCCCATGATCAAAGCACCAGAAGTTGTGTGTTGGAAGGATTCCGGATTATGCGGGCGCAACTGCTGTTGATTCGCGGTGTAGAAGTCCAATAAATGGCGTTCTGGCACGACTCTGGATCGTCAAGGCGCAGCAGTCAGGTTGACACGTGGCGTTGAAATCCCGAGAACAATGTTTTGGCACGTTTCAGAATGTTTAAACTGTTGTCTCCCAAAGAGGTACTTTCATCAATGGAAATGAACCGTTGTAGGGGCCTGTGAAGAAGGAGCTTGGAGGGAGGGTTGATTCCAACATCGGTGATGACTCTTGGGTTTCGACTGGTCCTGATCCTCATCCTCATCCTCATCGTCCACCACCTCCTCCTCCTCTTCCCCCTCCTCCTCCTCCATTTCTTCTCCTTATACAGAACTCTTCCCTGTCGCACCTCGATGCCAGTTTTTAGGGCGGGCCGGGCGTTTCGCCGGAGACTTTCTCACCATGTATGACTCTGGCGCTTGAAAACTGACAACAGCTTCACGAATTGAGGGGGGGTCGTTTTCAATATGTGGCTCTCGCCTCAGCGCCGCGCACATTCGCTTTAAAATTTGCCAGGGCTTCCATCAATGGAAATGACCCGTCGTAGGGGCCTATGAAGAGGGAGCTTAAAGAAAGGATTAATTCCAACATCGTTGATGACTCCTGGTTTAACACTGGTCCTCATCCTCCTCCTCCTCCTCCTCCTCCTCATCCTCATTCTCCTCCTCCTCCGCATCCTCCTCATCCTCATCAGCAATCATCATCATCAGCAGCAGCAGCATCACCACCACAACCATCATCATCATCATCATCATCATCATCATCAGCAGCAGCAGCATCGTCATGAGCATCAGCATCATCATCACCAGCAGCATCATCATGATCATTATCATGATCATCATCATCATCAGCAGCATCATCATCAGCATCAGCATCATCATCACCATCAGCAGCATCATCATCATCTTCACAAACATTCTCAATATCATCATAATCCTCAGCATCAGCATCAGCATCATCATGAACATCCGCATACTCATCATCAGCATCATCATAATCGTCATAGTCACAATCGTCATCGTCAGCATCATCATCATCAGCAGCATCGTCATCCGCCTCTTCCTCCTCATCATCCTCCTCGTCAACAACAACATCATCATCATCGTCATCATCATCATTATCAGCATCGTCACCATCATCATCATCGTCATCATCACGGGCATCCGCCAGTTCAACCTCATCATCATCCTCATAATTCAACATCGGCAACCTCATCGTGATCATCATCAAACATCAGCATCATCATCATCATCATCATCGTCATCGTCGTCATCATCATCGTCACCATCATTAGCCGCATCATCATCATCAGCATCAGCAGCATCATCATCAGCATCATCATCAGCATTATCATAACCGTCTTCGTCATCAGCATCATCATCACCAGCATCATCATCATCATCATCATCATCAGCATCATCATCATCATCATCATCATCGTCATCATCATCATCATCATCATCATCATCATCATCATCATCGCCATCATCACCATCAGCATCAGCATCATCATCAGCAGCAGTATCATCAGCAGCATCATCATCCTCATCATCATCACCAGCAGCAGCAGCATCGTCATCATCATCAGCAGCATCATCATCAGCACCAGCAGCATCATCATCAGCTTCTTCATCATCATCAACATCAGCAGCATCATCGTCATCATCATGATCCTCACCATCATCATCATCGTCCTCCTTCTTCTCCTCCCCTCCCTCAGCTGGCTCGGCGCGAGGAGCTCCCTCGTGCGTCGGCGCGCAGCGGACCCCCACAGCAGAAAAGGCAGGCGCAGGGCAAGGCAGCGAAGAGGCTCAGACTCAAATAGCTGGTCCTGCAGCAGGTCATGCACCTCGTGCTCGTGGAATTCCAGAGAGCGCACATGCCTGATCCCTGGACCTCTCCCTGGGTGCGTCCTGACCAGAACTTCGAGGCGAATCCAGCCGTGGCGACGAAGGCCTCCCAGGAGGCCAAAAAAAACAGCATAACCGAAGCAAGGGTATAGCGACATCGATAACTTCCCTTGGCGGCGCGCAGAAGGGGGTCAGGGGGAGGGGGGAAGGCTTCTTAAAAGCACCCTGTTTCTTAGAGAAGGCCGCGGCCTTACGTATACAGAGAAGGCCCGCGCCTTCTAAGAAACAGGGGTGTTTTTTAAGAAGCCCCCCCCCTCCCCTACCCCCCTTCTCCCTCTGAGTCACGTGCCACGGAGAGCGCGGAGAAGGCCTGCGAGGAGACACTCAAACAGGACCAGGCGGTCTCGAAAAGGAGGGCGCCAGCCGCAGCGGCGAGACGGGCGCGGCCCGGCAACCCAGACAAAAAGACAGAGCAGGAGGAGGAAGAGGAGGAGGAGGAGGAGGAGGGGGAGGAGGAGGAGGAGGAGGAGGAGGAGGAGGAGGAGGAGGAGGAGGAGAGGAGGAGAGGAGGAGGAGCGGGAGGAGGAGGAGGAGGAGGAGGGAGGAGGAGAGGGAGGAGGAGGAGGAGGAGGAGGAGGAGGAGGAGGAGGAGGAGGAGGAGGGAGGAGGGAGAGGAGGAGGAGAAGGAGGAGGAGCAGGAGGAGGGGGAAGAGGAGGAGGAGGAGGAGGAGGAGGAGGAGGAGGAGGAGGAGGAGGAGGAGGAGGAGGAGATTCCCGCGAGATTCCCCTCTGCCCTAGGCAGTCTCTCCCTTTCCGTCGCGGCTCCCCGCCGCGCGGCGCGCGCCGCGCACGGGGCCGACCGCTCTGGGGGCCGCGCCCCTGGGGGCCGCCCCCTTCTCCACGCGCGTCTTGCGGAGGCGCGTGGAGCAAGGCGGCTGAGCGCGTCCTCTGTGGTGTCCGCGCTCAACCCCCGAGATCCCCAGCACCCCACGAGGCACCCTCGGGGAGGCCGCCCCGAGCACCCCTCGCGGCATGCCTTCCAAGGAAGGTGGCAGTACTTGGCCTCTCCAGTCCAGCGCAGCCGTGGGCGTCGCGGTGGTGCTGGGCGGCGTGGTGCTGCTGGTCCTCGATGTCGTGCTGGTCTCGGTGGTGCTCGGTGGCGTGGTGCAGCTGAGCGTGTTGTTGCTGGTCGCCGTCGTACTGTTCTTCAATCGGTCGGCTGGCAGCGTAGAGGAGCCTGCGGACCCGTTGCCTGCGGCGTTCCTCGTCGATGCTCGTTACAGCCGCTGCGTCTGTCGAGGATCGTTGAGGTTGTTGCTCACAGGCTTGCTGCTCATCGCATTGGAGTGGTGGCTGCTCGTTCAGCTTGTCCTGGTGGTGGTCTGGCTGCTG